GCTCTGGTTTGTGAGTGTTACCCCTTTGACGTCATCAAAACATTAAGGCGTCGAATATCGGAACACGCCTCCCTGTTTTGTGCGCGCACGTTTGAACAGTATGAATGCTCCCATGTTCCTTTGACGTTTTTGTAACTGCTTCGTGAAATGGGCCCGGTGAAGTACGCTCAAAAATTTAGAAAAGACTGGCTACAAGACCCCAAACTTAAGGACTGGCTACTGGAGGTTCCTGGTGATAGCAGACGAGCCAGGCGCCGCTACTGCAAAACGGAACTATCTGCGAAGCACGTGGATTTGGTCGCGCACGCTGCAACGAAGAAGCATGTTTTGGCCGCTGCACCTTTCTCCTCTGGCAGGCAGACGACTCTACGAGTTGAACGGAAGCCTGACCGGTCACGTACTGCTGAAGGGTCCCTTGCCATGTTCATATGCGCTCACTCCGCGATGTTCCATGGCTTCGGATCACCTGGGTGAACTGCGCCAGTTTCGGGACCGCAAAGGGGCTAAGCACCTCCAGCTTCATCGGTCGAAGTGCAGTGCATGGATAAAAAACGTCCTCTTTCCTCACTTTGTTGACAAGTAGCTTTCCGACCTAGGATCTGGAAGCTACAGCCTGATCCTAGACGAATCAACGGACATATCGGTGACCAAGCTGTTGGGCGTCGTTATCGTCTACTACAGCGAGAAGGCTGCCAATGTGGTCTCTACCTTTTTGAGCTTAGTGGAACTCACTGACTGAAAAGCTCAGCCCATTGCAGACGCAGTGAAAATGTGCCCAGTTTCGATCTGCTGAGGATGGTGGGAATAGGAACGGACAATGCAAGTGTGATGGTCGGAGTCAACAACGGTGTGTATCAGAAGCTTAAGGCGGATGTTCCCAACCTCCTTTTCGTGAGGTGTCATTCGCTGCATTTGGCAGTTTCAAATGCCGTCGCCGAAGCTCTCCCGACTCGAATTTTTGGTGAGTGAGATCTACAACTGGTTCATCCGGTCGCCATCAAGGCAACAGTCCTACCGCGATCTCTACCGAGCCCTGTACAATGGACATGATCCGCTCAAGATAGTCCTCCTCAACAAGGTGGCTGTCCATCGAAACAGCAGTCCGAAGAGTCCTCGACCAGTTGGAGGCGCTCAAGTCACATTTTGGCCAAGCAAGAATGTCTGAAAAGTGCTACACTGCAGAACTCCTGCATTCCATGATGCGCGACCCGACAAACTTGGCCTACCTCGTTTTTAGGAAACCTTTCGGAAGTACAAAGGGTTAACAAAGCGTTTGAGTCTAACTCGGCTGATTGCGTGAAGCTGCTAAGCGATCTAACACTGCTAACTGAAGGCCTGACGAAGAAGCTTGTTCTGCCCACGTGTCGAGCAGACCCACTGAGTGCAAGCGTCGACGCCTACCCGAAAGCCAACCTCGGCTATGAAGGTGAAAGGAAGACCTGAGAAAAACGGGCTTCTCTGAAGAGTCGGAACGAGTATTCAGAGAACGGTGCATCGCTTTCCTGTGCCACCTCGTGACGAAGCTCCAGCAGAGGCTACCGAACAACGTTCGGACACTGAGGCAGGTTTCCCTGCTGTCAGTTGGGAACGCCCTGCGCGCTGTAAAGGAGTCGCTGGTGCCTCTCATGGAATTCATGAAGTTGACACAAGAAAAAATTGCAGCGATCGAGCTTCAGTGGAACAAACTCACTCTTGTTCGCTGGAACAAACTTGACACAACTGTCGCCTTCTGGGACGAGGTCAAAAAGTACAGGGATGCCTCCAACACAAACCCTTTTCTTGACCTAGCTGACTTTGCTTTGGCGACACTTGTACTGCCTTGGTCGAACTCGGAGGTTGAGCGGGTGTTGAGCCAGATGAACATCGTCAAATCTAAGCTGAGAAACAGGATGTCTACGGAGATGACCACTGCCATTTTGACGGGCTGGCCTCCGAAGAGAGAACAAATCTGGTTCTAATTATGAACTCCCATCAGATGCTGTAAAAACAAATCGGCACAATCGAGGTTTATTTTGGTAAAGACGGTGGTGACACACCAAGAACCAGTGGCACTTGTAATCAACAATACCAAGATGACAATGAAGCAGACGAGATCTTTTTGTAAGCTTGACAGATTTCTAGTCAAAACGAAAGGAAAGCTTTCTTTCAGGTGACATTGATATTATCTATACTGTTATTACACGTTTGGGTAAGAATTAAAGCAAAAAAAAAAACTTGTGAAAAAGACAGTTTTGTGTTGTGTACTGGATTTAGCGGTTTTCGGGACTCCGACTGCAGGTTTTCAATTTTTGAGTTGGCAACACTGCTGGGGAGCTTCCATACAAGCACCAAACTCTCACACACCGGCCAAACAATGCAGTGTTTGCACAGCACGAGGCTTTCTATCGGAAAAAGGCTTCTGCACTGCTGCGACGCGGAAACCTCCTCCACCGACGAGGGCGACCCGCGGTACCGAAAGCGCGCAATATGTGACGCCTTTGGTCCTGGGCTCACTACTGGTCAGAGCCGCTAAAAGCTTCTTTTTAGTCGAAATGCAAAATATAAGTGTCGCGAACCGTTTCAATTATGTATGAAAGTATTTTTTGTTCAGTATTTTAGTTCAGAAAAGAAACAAATGCAGTTCCTAAAGTAGGAAAACAAGAAATGACCCGTCGACATACCCGACACCAAGTGGTGGAGAAGGCGGCGGCGCATACTAGAAAGGAGTAATGGTATCACGCGCCGACACAGAAACGTCCCGGATGTACGCGGCGGCGCTGCGGTCGTATGGACAGGAGGATCCGACCGGCTCCCAGCGTTCCGAAGGCCTTTGGCAAAAAGCTTTGTCTCGCGGTTTAACCGTTTCGCGGTATGGCAGCGCAAAGTGGCTCCCATTCTGAACTGATCTTTACCCCGTGTTTGCTGTCGTTTGTGGCCAATGAAGTGTCATGCCGAATTAGTGTTTAATCGCGCAGCAAACGCAATGAAAGCCGCTTTGGCTGCCCGCTGCATACAGCCTATCCAGAACATGCTTTAGCGGCGCCCCCTCGCGCCGTTGACACGGAGTGCGGCAGCCGTGACCGCTCGCTGAGCTGACTACCCCTCCCCTCTAGTTCACGGCCACTCCAGCAACCAAGGACGTCGTGAGGGAGGTTATTTTTTGCTCGTCTTTGTAATTTTAATTTGTCTATATAACTTTTAATATAAAGCGAATTTCTAGAAAAGGAAAGTTTCACTAAGTTACTACGTTCAGTGCGCTCAGGTTCGGTGCAAATTTTAATAGTGGGTTACATAGTCCTCTCAGGGCACGTCATCACTATCTCGATAGTGTGCCCCTGGGGGATGCATCGGCGTCATACTTCCCAGGTAGCGAAGGTGCATTCGAAGCCACCCCGTCTGCACAACATCCCGAGGTCTTCTGAGTGCAAGATTTTGGAATTTGGTGACGAAAAGCTAGATTTTTAGCACTGAATATCTCGAAACTTGTTGCCATTCGCACATTGTGTCAATTGGGTGAGTCTTTAATGTTCACCACCTTTGAAACTAGAATTGAAACATGCCCCATAAAATCATTAATTAAAAATATTACTAAAACATTTTGGTAGATTAGTTTTGATTAACATTCTGCGACGGTTAATCCCCTCATCTAATGTCCTCCGAGCCCACAAACACACACTGAAGGCGACATCCAAATAACACTCACGCCGTTTTTTCCTTTTTCTAACCTTCGTTCGAATCAAAATAGAAAGTTTTGTATATATGTATATATACATACCAGGTGCATGTGCATGCAGCCGAGTATCATCCTACTATATAGAGGTCCACTTTTCCCTTCCATAAAACGGGATCCAACTGAACAAAGCCAGTTTTACATAAACCCCCAGCACGGCATGTACCAAGGACCGCCAGAAATGATTGCTCACCTCATAGAACGCTCTGTGCGGCTTGAAGAGAGGGGCTTGCAGTCTTTGACACTGGGTCTACCCACTTGGTGCAGCTGGGACCTGCAATAAATTTTGATACAGCTTGCCATATACCACAAAATAACAAAGAGAAAGCAAAGTAACAAAGAGAAAGCTTACAGCACAACATGTCCCGAGGGCCGCTAGAGATTCTCGCTCACCGCACAGAATACTTCATGCGACAAAACCCTGCATTAACGACCGACTGAACTTAGTATAAATGTTGCAGAAAAATCAGGATCTGCATTCAGCTGTGTCGAAACACCCGATCTAATGTAATAATTGGGTGCCCTTATAGATCACTACTTAAATAAATTTGACTAAAGAGTTGTAAGCAGTGAGAGAGTGCAGGCGAGCTGGTAATTAATCGACATCTTGTAAACCCCGAGATGGGGAACTGGTAATTAATCGACATCTTGTAAACCCTGTTTTTATTTTCCTTAGTTGAAAGCTCAAGGGCATTCCCTGTTGTTTGTTAAATCACATTTACCCAGATGGTAGTAGGTTGCTTCTTTGCATTTGCTGTCCTTGGGTATATTAGGGGTTGTGAACAGTATAACGCTCTAAGGTCCAGAAAGAAATTCCCTTTGTACAGTGACGGTAAGCAGAAGAGAAATTGTGAAGAGTGACTTTGTGTCTTCCCCTATTTTTTGTTTCTTAAAACTCAGCGGTGTTTGACACTACTCAGCGGTGTTGTATCATCATTCAGAGAACCAGTCTCGAATAAATTATGTGTTTAGCCTGTTTAGCTAGCTTGCACCCTCGTTTTTGTTTTTGTTCATTAATAAATGACTGTAGGATTCAACTGCAAGCACAGTGTTAATGCGTACAAATAAATGGCAGCATACTTTTGTTGATTAGTACTAATGATTGGACCAGTTGGTAGCCAATAATTAAAATGAAATCACGAAGAATATGGGAACAGAGGGTACGAACGCAACACAGCGCTGTGTTGATCTCCTCCTTGTTTGTGCGATGCAAACTCCGTGTTTTAGTAATACATTTTTTAATATTTTCTGCTCGGTATCATCTGTATAGGGGTTCGCTGGAACGACCCACCTGCTCTTGCATTCACTTTAGGGCAGCTCCCCCTTCCTCGTGGTGCCATCGTTGAGGAAGTGCTGGGCAGGCGTCACTCTCACTCTTGCGGTACATTCCCGCAGGTTCCCCTAGGTTGCAAGCTGCTAGCCAAACTGAGTCAGGCCTCCTGCAGGAAATGTCAATTCCACTCTTTTAGACGTAGACACCCACATTTTGAGTGTACCTGAAAGAAGCTCTAACGGAGAGGAAACAATATGAATGGCCCTTTTTGAATGCGTTCTTTTCTTTCGCTGAGAACATACATACAAGTCACACGCTATTGTACATTCAGTGGTGCGGCTTAATTTATAAAGAGCACTTTTTTATATAACTTCGAGCTCTTTGAGAGATGACTCGATATAATGGGTCAGACATAAATGGCTGCTATGAACTGTCCTTTACATTTACACATTACCCGATATCATAAAAACAGTAGAGCAGGGTAGGGCTGTACCGCATCAATTACGAATTTGTAACCAATTAATAGTTGGCATTTATTTATTACTATTGGCAAGTAGTCTTTGACAGAAAGACTAACTGGGCGAGTTGGTACAGTGGTAGTCTCAACTCCATCGAATATTCAGGTTTGACACTAGCGGTTAAGGTAATCTTTTCCATCTTTTTTCATGTTTTTGCTTTTTCTAGCTCCTCCGCTTTTTGTAAGGGCTTTTGCCACCACTAAAAAACATAATATCCAAACTTTTTTTTTTTTTACATCACACAATCGTACACTGGAAAAGTGTGCTGGTTCGGCAAACGCGAAGGGCGCAAACGCGTCTCTACGACACAGGCATTAGCTTAGGCAAAAAATCATGCTGCTCGGTCATCTAACGTTTTTCTCGCTCCCGCTTTATGAAACAAATCGGTGGCGAGCGGCTGTTGGGACAGGAGGTCAGAACTAGCATGACCTGTGATTAAACACTTTGGGACGGCGACTGAATGCTTGAACGTCCATCAGACGGCACTTCAAGGCTCCGCAAAATAAAGCACCGAATAATATTTCGTATTTTTACAAGTGCCGCCAATGTGTTGCATGATGGGATGCGCGTCCATTTTTGGCTCAGAAAGGTGGGGCGGTGGGCTTGCAGCTGCAAGTCGTTCTAAAGATAATAAGCACTGGATATTCACGGTATGTTAAGGTGGGTACCTGTGACCACACTAATTATGTGCCCGCGGAGCTATGCGTTGCCAAGTGTTACGAGGTAGAAGCATTGTCGAGCCTGTGAGATTAGTAGCGTACCGCGGCCTTGCCACGACGCTTGCTGCTTGCGGTCTGGACTTGTGTGACGAATATAATACGCCGACAGCCAGCGTACTTGCACGGACAGTTTACCTAAACGGGACTCGAACGGTTCTCGGTGCTCTGAAAATACGGCGGGCCGTGGGAACATTCGTCAGACGACCTCGCTATCGAACCGCTTCGTCAGAGCCTCACCGCCTCTGCGTGAACGCATGAACGGTCAGCGGTCGAGCGTGAGGTGTTCACTAGGTAAACATCGCCAAGTTTTGTTCGCGCTTGACATAGGAACATGCAGGACACTATTTATTTATGAAGAAAAGTAAAAAAACTGCTTGCTCGTACGAGGACAGACAGATCAGCTGATCTGCCTCTCATCGTATGCACGGGCAGTTTTCTGGTCGCTCAGCCGCCCCACAACACGTTAGGTACGAAGACAGGATATTAAGAGCTTTGAAACCCTTTTTAAATATTTTTTATATACTGCTTAGAACACATCTTTCGTCATTTATAACTAGTTTTTTGATAAGCTCCGATTTTCGAGGTCATTGTTGAAGATGTAAACACTGAAATGTGTACCTCACATAGGTTTGTCCTGTACACATTGTCCTGTAGATCTCAGGGGAAGGGGGGTAGATCTCAGCTGAGGTTTCTGTATTATCCCCCTCTGCACAAGGTCCGCACTAGAAAGCCACAATGCGGGACTTTCAATATCTCCCAATTGGGGCCAGTGTCAAATGCAGATTTGATGCAAGGGCTCCCTCAGCGCTCGGCAGGGACTCGTGTTCAAACAGCGGGAACACGACTCTCAACCGAACGCTGGGAAAGCTTTTGTGTCCAGTCTGCGCGCCACTCGGGCCCACATTAGCTGATGTTAAAAGTTCAGCCCTACAGCTTTCTAGTGCCAGGCAGTGCACGTCCACTACACTTTTTTTAGATATCTGCGAGCGTGAGGAGAGTATTTGTAGGAGAGCGGTAAACCACAGAAAGATGAGAAGGAATGACTACTTTCAGTCGCTTTATGCGTTTCCGAGCGAGCGGGATAATTGTTCTTTTTATTCCAAATTTTTGTTCGTTTGGAATATGACGAAATTAAATGCTGAATTTCTGAGATTAGAAATGAACAGAATGTTTCCAAATAAACTTTGAAAATGCTATTTATAACCTATCAAATGCTCGGCAGTTTTTCTCTTTATGCGGTTGATATGCCACCAGCAGTTGGAGCATCCCCTCTGTCAACTTGCCACCAAAAAAAAGCGACCAGTTATCTAGCAGCGTGATTTGCAGCTAGCGTTCCTCAGTCGCATCGAGCCCAGAGCTTACGCAGTGCTCATCTGCTATCCGAGGGCAGTGTTCCACCTTTGCCCCGGGGGATCCCCACGACTATGTCAGAAAACTGTGCAAAGGATTCAAAGGAATAGACCGCTTCTATTCTGGAAATCAGCCAGCGTCAAAGTTGCGCGCGAGTACACTTGGGTCAGTTTGCATTGTCAAGTGTGTTGAGGTAAGCACGGCTCACCAATTTGCTTGCCCCGAGTAAGAAGACCAATATAGGCACCTTTTTCCATGGCAACACACTGGTCTGGGTTGTCCAGTATGTCCTGGGCTCTTGTCAGCCACCAGAGCAGTGATTTTCTTCCTTGCACTTTGCAGCTGTCTCTCCAGGCTGTCAATGATGGCTCTTGCCGAGTCTGGCTGCAAGACACATGGCCCCGAAAAGCTTGTTTGGAGGGCAACGGACACCTTCGTCACGTCGCCCGCGGTTTCCCTTTCGAGTGCCTCGGTGCTCGAATGGGGTAGTGTCACACCGCCAAGTGTTGTCGCCTCACCTATAAAAAATAAGGTAGCAGAATAGTTTGCTATTATTCATTTTGAAAAATTCAATTACTTATTATTTCTCAAATATTCCCATTTAGCTACTAGGAGAAAAGACACTTGGTACATTCGACCGCAGCCATGCCACTCTAGGAAAACAATTAAAGGGGTGGGATATTTATACTTTAGGTTTTGGGATTTAAAAAAAAAAAATAGCCATCAGAGCACCCAGAAAATTGGCTTTCCGTGTAAGGCACATGAAAATATTAGGCGCTGGAGAAACCCAGCCCTCTGTGCTAGGTCCTTACTTCGAGCTATTTTTGCTCACTGTCCTCCCATAGAAACGCATTGCGAAGAAACTTGAGCATGCACCTGATCTCACAACGTTGCCATGTGCTGCTTTAAAAGTACATTTGCTAAAGAAGCATCGACTGAATTAACGTGCACACAAAGCTAATGCTCGAAGCCGGCAAGAGCCGATCCTGGCCATCACCTGCTAAAGTCACCGGCTCTCCTCGCTTAGGCGACGCGGCAGCCACGGTTCGTGGCGCATGCCTGGCTCCCGAACAGGCCGCGCAACAAATGGTCACTCGTCATTTTGCTCGGGCAGTTTCTAATATCGGGCTCGAACTTGTCCCCAGCCTTGTCGGAACCGCGAAGCTAGGCTACTGTACTGAGGGAAGACTGAAACTAGACGCTGGCAGCCGAGGCAACTGCTTCCAGCTCGGGCATCATCTGCTAAAAGCGCCACTTTGCTTTCAGCAGATGGCAGTTAGAGAAATGGTGTCATCAGTCGCAGGCTTCAGACGCTGGGCTCCTGAATTCTTCCATTCAGCCAGCTCTTTGTTGCCATTGTCAGACCTTGTTGCGCAGAAGGATACGATGGTGGTGTAAGACCAGGTGCCTTCTCAGGCCCTTCGCGACGCATCTCTGCGGATGGAATGGGACCAGAAGGGGTTTGAAATGAGGACCGTATGCCGAGAGCCGATTCCTCCTGTGCCTAATATGGTGATGTGCCTCACGCGACAAACATGTTTTTGGATTTGAGTTTGAGCATGTTTCTTTTTATTCGGAACATAGGCCTAAAGTATCAATGTGCCGATTTTTGTCATCTCTGTCTGCTCAGATTCACGTTATGATGTACCGCAGGAAAGGCTACAAGTACGAGCTTTGTTGCTCGAGGGTGCATCTTGGCAGCACAAGCTCTAGCGCAGGAAGAGTAGCTGTTGGCTCTTGAGCTTGCGCTTCTAGCCTTCGCTGCAGTACAACATGAGGTGAAACAGAGTAGCTGCCAAGCACCAAAGAGCATACTGCGCAGTGTAGTTACATACGCTGTGCGTCCTCGCATCTACAGTGGCAAGTTTGGTAAAACAAAGATCTTAAATAAATAGCTTACTGCATGCACGTTTGCCAACATCGTATTTTAGTCATTCGCCTCTAAAGGGATGCTGAACCGAATTCTGGATTCCACAAAACACGGCGACAGAAGCGTGCAACGGGATGCTACGAACACCAAAACATCACTGAAACAGCAATATCTCGAACGGATGACCATATTTTTCTATAAAAAGCAGGCGCATTTCACGGGTATGTTGACGTTGTTTCTCCGAGAAAAGTCGAGAAGGAGAGCAAACGGCCTGGTGTCTTCTCCGCCTTGACGCCTTGACGGAGCGAAGCGAAGAGAGGAGGAAACGAGATATGTTTACGTCACGCGCCTCGTCGGCCTCGTTCAATCTTGACCTCTTTTTCCAAAAATACGGCCGTCCATTCCAGATATCGCCTTGCGAGTGGTGTAGAGATTGTAGCGTCCCGCCTGCCACTCCTGCATTGTTTTCTGAAATCCAAATTTCAGTTCACCATCCCTTTAATGTTTTGCACAGATACTAAAGCATGCGGAACATGTACCTATACGCAATTTGACGAGTTGGCTTCACGCAAAAGATATTGTTAGATTCAAGTTTGAGAGTGTTTGCACAAGCCGAAGCAGGCTTGCGCAAACAGTGGTTCAAATCGAACGGCACAGCGTTGCTCTTTGCCTTACTGCAAAGAGAGCCGGAACATTGTGGCTTGCAAAGGCTATGAATGATGCACGACTATCCCAACCAAACCGCTAATCATGCAAGCCTACAATCGAGGGGCTAGCTGCAATAGTGGTACAAGTGCACTTGAACCAATTGGGGTATTCACGGTCCCAGATATTAAACTTATACGTGTGACACTCTACTTTCGGTGGTAAGGAACACACTTATTTACTCAAAGTTCAAACGCTATATTGACCTTGACATGCACAGATAAAATTATTGAGGGACTTTTTGGTGGGCTCTGCATTTGCACTTGTACCACTCTCGCACATAGCCCCTGAATTAAGATAAATTTCCTCTCTGAAGACTATTGCAGAAAATGTTCTTTGCGTATGGTGTGCATTCTCAAATTCTGAAGCTGTGCGAGTTATTTGGGCTGACTCGTTTAATTTTCTCCATTGCTTTCTGAGAATACTGTTTGCACCAGAATTCTATGTAGCGATGGGAAGTACTGTGCCGCAATAAATATCGTAGCTGTCCTTTAATCTGTGTCACTGTCTTTACACATCCTTCTTGCGTGTCTAAATATGGATGCGAAACAGTGATGGTTAATGGCAGTAATTGAAGTTATTCTTCGAATGACATTTTGGGTTCTTAATGTTGAGGGCTGTTGCACACCTAGACGGTATGTTTATGGTTAACAGCCAGGGATGGGCAAAATACATGCACATATGTATTGAAATACAAATACAAAATACTTTGTCAAAAATGTATTTAATTACAAATCTGACTACATTTCCAAAAAAAGCATTTAAGTACAAGATACAAATACAGCCAAATGTATTTGGTCTCCTCCAAATACATTCCTCAAAATTTGCGTTAGCGACTTCAGGGCACCTGCAACGGGTTTCTGGGTATCTCATTTTAATTTTGCATCGCATACTCGGGAGTTAGTGTGCGAGGCTCTAGTAACGTAATAAAAAGATAATCACAAAAAATACAATCAGCTTGGACGTAATAGGTGAAAAAAGTACAGAGCTTCAAGCAGCTTTTTTTGTCGATTACATTTTGGTATAGACCAACAAAGAACCAAGACTACCAAGACGCGCAGCACTAGCTAGAGAATTTTCTTATTGTTGCAACTCGCACCAGTTACGAAAATCTGGACGACTCGCGCATTTAGAATGTTCCAGGCAAAAATATGGATGGAAATCAGGCTGGAAAGCATCACAAGTTGTCACAGGCACTTATTTAGCCAGCCTGTGGACGTCGATTTCGTCACTATTCTTGCCCTGGACTAGCACCGTAATCACAAAGTCACTAAACTCTTGTGCTTGATCGGGAGACACTGCATTCGGTGCAGAACATTGTTTTCTTCCTGCTCTGGAGAGTGACAATAAATTTGAGGGATGTATTTTCGCCCACAAAATTGTATTTAATTACAATTGTATTTGAAATACCCACAGTTTAGTATTTAAATACACACGTCAAATACATTATCCAATTTGTAATTAAATACAAATGCAAAATACACAAAGTATTTGAAATACGGTTTTCAAATACTTGTATTTGAAATACTGCCCATCCCTGTTAACAGCTATTGTGGCAACCACTTTGTTGGTCATTGAATCATTCTCAAGTGTGAGTTGCCAAGGGTCTGTGTAAGCAGTTGAAAGTCACTGGATTTATATTGCGTTGATTTGTCAAACATCCGCAGGCAACGACCGCATCATTGAAGCAGAGGCATATTGTAAGCTGTTTTAAGCAGGGAGGACGATAACCAAGTAGCCCATGTGGCTAGTTGGTTATTGATTATCATATTGTACTCCGCCCAAAACACAAACAAGATGAAAGAAGAGGTGGACAGGACAAGGCACACACTACGTCCCGTCTATCTTTTTTCATCACATTAGTGTTTTAAGCGTAGTACAATGGGCTGTACAATAACCAACTAGCACATGGCGTAAGACGTGTCTGGCCTGCTTGTTTTGTTCGAGGGCCTTTTTCAAAAGGCTCATTCATGCGCATACTCAGTGCTACGTAAACAGTCAACATCGTTGTGGTCATGGCACAGTGTTAAGCAGAAGAGGGTAGGCCAAAGAGTAGAGACACTTTGCCAAGTGGAGACCTATTGCAATACTTGTTCCAATTTCTCCCCTCCAGCTTTGTGCTGTTAAAGCACTGTGACAGATGAGACTGATTGTCCCGTGCAAGTGGTGATCAGCAGGTACGTAGACGTAAAAAAAATAATGTTTTAGGAAAAGGGTACGCTCACCATTGGGATTTCCAGACATTTGGCTGGGCTCCTCGGTGCTGGCCTGAGGGGCCATGTTTGTCACCGTAGGGAATGGATCAGCTGTTGAATGGCCGGGCACTGTACAACAAAAGTAAAATAGACTCCTGTTAAGACCATGAGGTCGGTCAGCACTTTTACCACAGTGATCCACGCTGTAGATGAGAAATTTAGCCGGTGCAGTACGGGTGCAAGCCTGGTGTCTTTAACGAGGATCGGGCAGTAGTGGTACATAACGATACTCCCGTAGAATGCTCATCCCAATCGGACTGGGCAGGAATGAGGATTGCACCAGTGAGTGGTGCCTGGGGGCAGCACAAAGTTCCCCTACACATGCACTGAACTGCGGTGTACTAACACACTCGGCCACCAATCAATACCCTCCAGACTGCTGGACATGGTTTCTAGTACAGTGCAAACCTCAGTAATTCATCTTTTTACGTAACAGAACCGTATAAGTTATAATGCGATAGAACACTTGCCCAGCCTCTGAGTTCGTGGCTTGCTGCTAGGCTTCATGGGCCGGCGAGCAAACAGCGATGGAGAAGCACTCGGCTTGAGTTTTCTCAAGCCGTCGGCTCTGTGCCGCTCGAACTGGTCGCTCGTGAAATGGCCCTATAAAGACAATCATTGGTAGAACGCGAGAGCGTAAGCAAAAATGAATATATATATATATATATATTTAGCCTCGGGGCCCTAGGAGCCCTTGTAGGCATTAGATATAGAGAATTGAAAAAGAAATGCGCAGGACATGACAAGGTTCAAAAAACATTAGCAGCCCCAATGCATGCTGATGCACGTGACTTTTTTTTTTTTTTTTATTGCACCTGTAGGAAACAGTTACTATGATATAATGATTACAGTGGCCATATTCCTCGGGCCCCAAAGCAGGACTCATATCGGAGTGGGGTGGGGTGGGGGGGGTTATTATTGCGTTGCGAGACTTAAAAAAGTTTTAAATTTCGGTAACAAATCACCTTTTTATTTTTTCGTATTCACCGCGCACATTTCTTTTCCTCGCAATTTGCATACTGTTTGGAATGCACATCTAATACGTTTGGTCGGAATATTTCTTTAGTAATAATGTATTCATTTTTGTATAGTATACCCATAGTTCTGTTTACGTGTCACGTAAATTAACCTTCAGTATCTTCTCTGTCAAGAATATCTAGTTCCTCGATCAGAGGAAGCACCCTCTCACTGGTGCGATCCATTCGTTTAACCGCATCTTTTATTTATTCGCAATTCGGGGGAGCCGAAGCGGGACAAAGCGCCGTCCCACAAGCACGTTGCTGGGACAGTGGGACCACGGCCGGAAAAACGGGACCTGTCCCGCCTAAATCGGGACGTCTGGTCACTTTAATAATGATTGCATATTATCACACAGCCGAAAGTCTTACGACAGTATGCTTAGCAACATGCTGTGAAATAGAACTTTCAGTGCATGCAATATTGTGTCTGCCTTTCATTCATGAATCATTGATTTAAGAGGGAGCTTTTTCAATGTTTGGATATACGCAAATGTAGCTTCCTTCTTTTTTTTTTATTAGCATAATTGAAAAACAGATATCTGAGTGGCTTGTACAGCATGCTCTTGGTGATGAGGTGAATCATCACGGCAAACCTCACGGACCTGTCAGTCCCGAGGAACCATTTTGAGCGCGCGGCTACTGCGTCATTTGATCTGGCACTTTCCTTAATTCGGAGCATTAAGATGGTGATTACAACTGGGTGGATTAATGTTATTTTCAGGAGGCTGTCACTTTTTTATCGTAGTACGCTGTGCCGATCTCGGAACAACTCTCCTCAACACTGCAACGTCAAGTGAACACGCATTCAACTGTAATCATACTCACTCCGCAAAGCCTCGAGTTTGGCGTCGGCGCAAATTCAACCCTGCTTATCTTGTGGAGCCATTCCTTCCGTCGTGTTTTGTTCCTTGTCCCGGTGGGAATCAAGAACAGTGTCTTGCCACGTCCAGAGCGAGTCGTGCAGCTCGGCATCGCGACTTCGCGAATACGTGCCGACGAGGCGCGCCACAAAAGCGCGCCAAGTGATGCAGTGAAATCACTGTCGATCGGAATGTCTTAAACAATTCAAAGGGTGCGTAACTAAACAAGTTTCAGATGCCCAGAGCGCAGTCACGTTTGCATTTTAGTAGAGTACTGTCATCCAATGCTTTATACACTCCGTTGGATGGATGGATAGATGAATACGGCTGAGCCCTTTGGATCGGGCGGTAGCTTACGCCACCTAGCCATTTTGTTTTAAGCTTAGAATATTTAAATGTGAAATCTATATTCACTCCGCAGTGCAAAGAAAGTGAGGCTATGAAACCCCCTTGCCATCAGTGGATAAGAAAATACCTAGTTTTTTCTCGATTTCTGCCACCATTCACTTAATCTTTGCTTGGTAATCTCTACAGTCTTGAAATCCACTCTCCCTTCGCTGTCTCTAAAACCCAATGACTTTATTAAATCTATGTTGTCTTCGGTAGGCATAGGGTGAAGCCCTTTACAGTAGAGCAACCGCACCGTCGGAGCGGTGCGGTTGCGCTGGGTTCACAGAATGAAGTGCTGCCTGTGCTGCGCCATTAAGTGCTTCAATAGTTATGCGTCGTATCTTGTGCGGACAAAGTTTCACAGTTTTTCACCTCGCCGATGTTTTGTGGGACAGCGACAACGATGGAGCCGTGCCGTACGACGCGAGAAATTTGGTCTCCCGATCATGTCTGCCACTGTGTCGGTGCACGGCTGACATATTTTACACTGCCGCTTTGCGCGCTCTGCATTTGTTTTCGTACCAGTAACACCTACATGTGTCAGCGCCGATGGGACGAACTGAAATGCCATCCCACACTCGCGGTTATGCTGGTTATGCAGTGCCAATTTCGTTGGAGGAATGCCCTCCAAAGGAGTTTCGTCCCCATCGTACGTGTCGATATTTTCGGACAAGTATGGCACGCAATCTCTACTTCACGAAGAAAGATTCGAACGGTAAAAAAAGTGACAAATATTAATCTAAAGAAAACAACAATGAAACTCGAAATCACTAACGAATCGATGTTTGAGTATGGAAGTTTATGTGGTGAGCTTTCTTTCTTGATCAGCCTCCTTTTGGATGTGGAAACGCTCACACCCCGAGTTCTGTCGACAACATTTTTTTTCTCGGCTTTAGAGCCACCTATTGCAAAGTGGTTCGAACTGGAGGTACCGTCCGCTGGTCCCTTCCTACCTGTAAAGTGTGCACCTCCCACGATGAGTGGTATTATCTTGACAGCCTTTGACGATCAAAGCCAGTTCCCATTTAGTTACGCCGCCCAAACTAAATTTCCACCTGGTTTCGCTATGCCAACTCTTTTTGGTACAATAAGTGTTGTGTCAAGTTACAGTCATGTCAAAGTACACACACAGCGAAAAAGTACACCCCTGGACGTGTAAACCGTTGTCCCAGGGCGGACTCCCCAAATGGTGTTCGTTTTACACGCGAGGCTCGGTGTATTTCGTTTGCACCCGAGGTCTCGTGTAAAATGAACATCTTTGAACGTGTACTTCCTTCTGCGGTCACACGTCTAGGGGTGTTTTTTCACAATGGCGGCCATTTGACGTAAGACGGGTTCTACGAACGAGGCCCAGCGCTTTACACGGCTTTTCGCCGCAGCGAAAGCGTAGTTTGCACGTGTTCGTTCGTAATCGTCCATACGTGCTGAAGTACCGCAGGCATTCACCCCCAAGCGCCGACGCCGTATCCATTACGGCGATTACGCGACAGTGGGAGCGACCATCGACTGCATCCAGCAGCGTGTTTCCCCATCGAGCAGGTCCCGTTCGCGTGGCGGTTCAGCCGATCGCCGAGGCCTCAAGCCGGTTGCATTGTCACCGACGCCGGGTAATTTCCACAGGAGTTATCTTTTCGCGACCACAGACATGAACTTTATTGAAAAAGCCCGTTTGCCGTGAGCGACGACGAATAGCTCCGACACCGACCCGACCGGCGTTACCGACGTCCCGCTCACCTCTTTACCGCGAGCAAAGTTGTACGCGACGTTTCGACGTATCCACTCGTACCTCGTGTGTACGCAAATTTTGCGGCTTTGCGGGTACGAATCTGCTACCGAAACGGCCTGCGTACGAAGACGAACTAAAGCCGGCGCCATGCGCCGTTTTAACACCCGGTTACTTTTCTACTAGACTGTAGCTATGTGGTATAGTTCCTTACACACTAAATGGACTACGTACGAACAAAGCTAAAATAAAATTGGGCGGCTGCTTGCGCCATCTAGTGAGTATGCGGAAAAGTACAAAAATGAAAGAGCATTTTTGGATGTGACATGCCGGAACACGGACGGCGCATACCAACACATACATCACACCACATACATCACAGCACATGCCACAAGATCAACATACACACACACATACATGCACGAACATCAAACAGAGGCACTAACAACCCGACACTCCTACTCAATTCCATTAGTAACCCGCTCGGTATATATAGCAGACTTTTTGTTTCAGACGAAGGTCCGGTGACCCCCACCGTATTTTACATGAACGTAACGATACTACACAATTATTACTTATATAGTAGGGTGACATAAATATAATTTGGGAAAGTACACATTTCTCTTAGTCTAGATTATGGCTAAAAGACACCCTATATTTTTTAAAAAATGTTTCGAGCTAGCCAAAATGTAGCAAAATCTGGTTTCGTTTTCGGAAGTTCGAGCGCTCAAGGCTGGAATGCGCTAGCGAAGTGTGTGCTTGCTTCTGTCAAACTATAATCCATTGTATGACGCTCTCAAAGCTGCTGGCTGCAGCCCCCGTCTTGGTTTAGGGTTTGATTTACACGCGCTCCCGTGGAAATGAAATTATGCGCGCTCGAGTATAAACCGAATGTAAACGATTTTGCGAGCGACGAGAAAAGCGACGGCGACCCGCTTCGCTGGCGCTCGGTCACTCGCGCGACGACGCAAGCCGCATGAAAGCGGAACGCTGTTTCTAGAAATCCAAAAACCGAGTGACGCGACGAGCGATAGTAAGAAATCTTCGTAATACGTCGCTGACTCGTCGCTGTCGCCGTCGCTCGCTAAATCGCTTTATGCAGTTCAGCCTTTATACTCACGCTAGTGCCTACCTGCATTACCCGCTGAGCCCAAGCAAGCGATAAGGATATTCAAATATGTCACAACAGTGGGCGTGCATTCGCTAAGAAAGCATATATCTCAAATTCCTGCAGTTTGACGTCGGGATCCGTTACTTGTTCTGCTGTCACCTTGGCGAAACGGTCACTAAAGAGAAACTAGTCAGTTTGTTTTATCAGAAATTATAAAAACCTTATCTAGCCACTGTTATGCACAAAAGCACTCTGGCATTTCATATAAATAGTTTAGAATAAACTGAACACAATCGGTAACTTAATTTTCCAAACATAATAATAAAAAAATCTTAGAAAACAATGTATTTTTAAGGTGTTTCAAATAAAAAAACTGAAAAAGGAGCCTTAATTCAGCTGCACTATCACGTAAATACTTTGGGAAAAAAATATCTATTGAGAAGTAGGTTTTGCAATCTCTAATTTGCTTCTTTCAACTTTCCAGTTACTTTATGTGTACTTGCAGATTGTATCCTGACAAACCAAGACAAAATTGTATAAAAAGTAACAGTCTATATAAAATTTATAGCTTAATTAAATTCACATTTGTTTGATAATGTTCAATCCTAAATATGAGTTTTAAATTTCACATCTATTATTACAAATGATTGAATTACATGCTGCTTGATGCGTGCTGCGCTGCCCCCCCCCCCCCCCCCCCCCTTTAAATATATATATCCTGTATATTTGCTGGTT